GACGGGATTGTCTCAACGTGGACGAGGAGCCCCGCTTCAATCATCCATTGAAAGCGTCTGCATTTGGCCATCTTGACGCGTTGACGTTCAAGTTCTTCAGGCGTGGGCACGGTGTGGCGTTTGAGTTGTGCGACCCGGAGATCTTTTATGGAAAAAATTGCGACCCTCCGGACCAACCGCAGAAGTCCATGCCCTCAACCCGCATCTGCCAGCGCATAATACAAATAACCAGCTAACTGAAATCACTGATCTGGAGCACCATCTCGTCGAACTCAAACCTTTCTTTCGCTATTATGGACTTGATCTTCTATCCGAGCTTACACGGACACCAAATGGCGAGTAACGAGAGTATCATAGGATAAATAAGTCTAAGATATTTCATCACTTCGCCCTAGCAGTAGTTTCCTTCGATGAATGCTATCACTGGTATCCCAGTTTTAGACAAACCCAATCTGCCGATAAGTACGTCGAAACACACGCGATCAGAATATTCATTCATATTCTTGTCCTTTCGACACCATGAAAATCATCAAAAACATAAACCTTAATATTCCTTGGGATAATAAGATCAAACTGACCGTTTTAAGACCTTTTTTAAACCAACAAACTCTTTGATAGAAAATTTTTCATTCTGAGCCACTTGCTCTTATTTCAACCTGGGTTCCTTGAATTGAGGGGTGATATTAAGTGGGACCGTTGTTACTCGCTTAATATCTGTAGATAAAGAAAGAGTAAGGAATCAGAGTCCCTTGTTACCAACCGCAGTGCTTTGGACTTAAAGTATCTGTCGTAGATGGTTAGCTAAATCTGAGTGATTTCCAAGAAGCTGGTTTCTCGACGAGACACACTAATTCGCACTTATTCGGATTTGACGGGAAACGCAACTGAAATCACAACTGAATTTCTCGTCTACGATATTCTTCAAACGAATGCACTGCACGGAGTTTCAGCCGTTGCGATGATCGTCCACTGATGAGCCCCAAGAAAGACGACACCAGTCAGGAACTTTCAAGGAGCTTACAGTAGATTGGTGATTAGAGTGCTCCATCGAGCAAGCATGCCACATTATGTCAGACCAAAAAAATAGACAAGAACTCGAGTAGTGCACCTGTTTGGTGAGCCTTATGAAGCGCGGAACCGGTTGTGAACTGTCGGATAGCAGTATGCTCCTTCAAGAAAAAAATATTTTCTTCTTATCTCAGACAATATATGGAACAGCTAAACAAAAAAAAGCCGCGTCAAATTTATTTTGTCTGAGGACAGTTTTCGTGGGGACTTCTTCTTAGCTTTCCAGTTTGCATAAACCTTTTTTTCACTGGGGATTAGGTGACAATTCACATAATGTACAAAAAACTAAGGATAAATCAGCAAAACTGGTCAGTAAATGCCAGACTCCGCGTACGGCTCCAGTCTTACATTAGCTAGAGGAAAAACCCTCCCCAAGAACAGGTTGCTCTTGTCTACACACTACCGGTGTGAGAAAATCCGGATCTAAAAAGCCTCCAAATCTTTCTTTCAAATGACTTACTGATCCAAGAGGTTCTAGTTATCTGAAGGGCGCACACAAGAAAGATTCCTAATAAGGCTATGTAAGCATTCTCGTCCATATTCAAACATAATCATTGTCTTCCACTCAAACAAACATTTTTCATTGAATGTGGGTACGCAAGTGGAATAGAAACCATAGAAATGAGCTTTGTCACCCTGTGGAAAACTCTCCCTGGAGCACCCTTAGTCATTGCGTAAATATACTTGCAGACAGGCAGTTTCTTTCTACCATAAGAATGCTGTTCGTGGTTTTCGGTGCAACTATGATCATTCGACAGACTTCCTGCACACCAGATTTTCTGAAAATACTGATGAGTGCATCGGTCGCAATTTGCATCCAAAAGTGGGATACCCACACCATGCGCTTCTAATGAAGCGCAAAAATAGCACGATACTCTGTAATTTATTCCAAGGACATATGGTGTGGTGAGATACTAAGTCCAGATGGCCTTGGTAGTCCGAATAATATCATGCTCGAAAGTATAGGTCCCATCGTCAGATCGATCGTCATTTGCCTGGCTACACAACTGGCAGCGGTCGCTCATGTATTGTGTCAGCTGGAGGCTGTTGATAAAGTACGTGTGGTTATCCGACGAGTGCACTCATTTGCATACCGATTTGGTTTTATTGGGACACACCCAGTAATCCCGGATGAATCTCTTTTTTATTATATCCTTCGACTGAATATGCTGCACAGCTTGGATCTATGTGGGTCCCATGTGAAAAACCTGTATTTGTAGAGTTTTATGCAGTTTGGGCTCAATTAGAAAATAGGGTTGCCGTAATCTCGAAAACTGTGTCTGCCTGATGAGCCCGTAGGGCAAGAGCGAAACCGGCCATGGGGTGTCGATGAATTTTCCACATCAGTCTGGGTAGGCTCCTTCATGAGAATACAAATGGTTATTTTTTATGGCATCTGTGTGCATGAGCAGTATGGGTCCTGGGTAATCACCTATTCTACTGTCAGAATCCTGCAATTCTATCTGAATGAGTGAATTGTAGAAAATTCCGAAGAAAACAAACATTAATCCAAAACTGAAAGAAACATCATGGGTACGGTTCCTACAGGTGGTTTAGGAAACATCTCTCAGTGACATAACTTGATCAAAACACAAGTGCCAATACGTTTTACTTAAAACAGACCCATTGGTTAGCCACGACACGAATTATAGAGCTAAAATAACATGCAGAGATATACACACAAACGTATTCTTTGCTTCAGTGGGAGCTCGTCACTGTAAGTTGTTTGTCTGGGGAATCAAATCTGGACAACGAGGCTTGGAGATTCGTACAAAAATAGAAGATGGTAGTTCAGTTGATTTTGACTTTGCCTTCTAAAGTCGACATTCTGAATAACACCACTGAATAGGGCTAATTTCCAAAAGGCACCCACTGCTTTGAAAGAGTTTACCACCACTGCTACTCTCGGGGTTAGACATTTCTTCAATTCACTCCAACCTTTTTTCGAATGTCAAGTTTGTCTTCTTGTTGCGAGAATGATGATTCCTGGTGGACATTTTGCGTCTGGCCTTCGTACAAGCAGGTAATTATCATCCACAGGTCATGTATGGTCAATTTAGTGAAAACTCTACCCAGTCGCATGCATCAATGATTGCCATGTCTGGGAAGAATTCCGTAAAATCTATCCATGCATCGATTCGTTGCGAGAAGCTTGTGATGCGTTCGAACGCTACGTTTATGTTCGTTGAATATATTGCTTGAACTAAGTCCCTTCCACATTGCGGGATTTTTTAGAAAATATCTCTATATGTTTTTTTAGGACGACGACGTGGAAAACCTAAAGTCCTAACGGAAATCCAACTATGACTGATTTGTGTGTTGAAGTGCCCCAAGTGGCATACAGTTTCGGGGTTGAAAGGTTGAGTACTGTTCGGTCGTGTCTTGGAAGCACGTAACAAGGTAGCAGGGAACTTCATAAATCTATCAAGGCCGTGGTTCTTGTCGGGTCGAAAATCCTGGTGTCCGGCCACTGATGGGTCCAGACAATCATTTGACTCGTGAGAAAGTTTTATCCGATTAGTTCCCAATTCTTGCGGAGGATATGATAATTATCAAGCTAGGAAGGTGCGATCGGATTCCGAATATGACTCACAGGGATGCCTTCACCTTATACACCCGGTAAAATTACTAGCATCAATGACTAACTAAGCGAAATTGCCGACAATCGTCAGGATTTATCATAACACTTTCACAGGATAGCAAAATAGCCCTAATTGAGCAGGCAAATTAGGAAAGAGAGCTTTTTTCTGTGCACTGCCTTTGTTTTGGAGTAAGTGAAACCTATATGTGGTTCAAAATCAGCATTTTCTGAAGCATCCCTGCTTTTGGTAGCATCTGTAAAAGTTTGGTGCTGCAGTGACTGACCAGGATTGACTGTCTTCGAGAAAATTTTTCTCAACTTGGTAGATATAATTACTGGATCTGGTAGGTACTAAGAACGGTTGAAAAGTTCTACAATCAGTTAGGTCCTTTGGCAATGAGCCCACGGCTACAGTACACAATAGCGCCCTGTACTCATCAGAGACCTAGGTGCATTTTGTATAAAAAAAAGTTTCGGTTTTTGGTTCGTTAAAATGGCTATCGCTACCAGGCAGGTTGTAAATTATTGCGTAATTGTCATCAACGGAATTTGATGGTCCCGACCAACAGAGCTTGTTATAAAGTAACGAACAGTCTAAAAACAGTACGTTGGAAATAGAGTTGTTGTCTTTAAGAAGCACACGAACTTGCGAAGTATGGTTGTCTTTATGGTGACTAGTTCCCCACGGCCTCAAAAGTGTAACAAATGTTTTTGTGATGTACATCTTGTTATTGTGTTGCATATTATATTATATACATATTACATCGTGTCATATAAAAATGAAATAATAGAGAGGATACCATAGAACAACTTATTTGCTCTTTTGGGCCTTATATTTTTCAATCCCACGGGTGTTTAGGTTATGTCAGAGCATTAAAACTGCCCTATCATGGAAGCCAGTAAACGGCATTGTGTAGTCAAAGCCACTGAGAGCAAGTCATTTAAGAAAGAAAATTCCAACTTTTCGTCGACCACCAAAGTCCCCTTCGACAACAACGCACCGCGTACTTAGAGTGGTACTCTACTGTTAAACCGGATATCTTGCGTCTGCTGTTTAAAAAAGACTGAAGGGTTTGTAAGAAGGCACGGTATACAAGAGGGGAGAGAGTGTGATCAGCATGAAGCCTGAAAACTTGGAGGTGTCTGCTTATATGAAAGAATGCTCCGTGAATGTCGTGTGTATAAACAAATTCGGAATGAAAGGAATCTCTAGGCGCCCACTAATGTAAACCTATCACCTTGCCGTGTTCATTCATAGAAATTTTTGTCGCAAGAATATTAGGGTATGAGGGCCTACATAAAAAAACAACGTGAACGTTTTTTCGTGGGCTGGCAAAGGGCCTTGACTAACCATATGAGTAGGGTGCTTCATCAAGAGGACAGAGTTCTTCCTTCTGTAAAGAAAAACAGATTCCCACATTTTCAGTAAATCTTCCCTCCTTTAACGCAGGTTGTGCGGCCTTCTGGAGGGAAAACGGTATGCCGTGCAAGAACCTTGGAGACTTCTGCCGTAAGCTACCATTCGGACAAAGATGTTGTGGAGACACCGTTTGTGATCTTTATGCTCCATTTAAAGGCAACTGCGTCCGCTGCATTCCAACCGGGAAGTTTTGTCTACGAACCAAAGATTGCTGTCAGGGCAAATGTCTATTTTTTTTCTGTCGCTAAATAAATCCTTGCTCAAAGCCACTTTATCAGTAGTTTGGACAATGTTGTTAGAACAGGGTGAAGACATTCTCTGTTTTATTAACCCCATCCGAAATGAAACAAGGAGAACATGTTGCTTATTTCTACCAACTTGGTGCTGTTGTCCTTAATACATGGGGAAATCTGTTTCCACCGTGAATAACCGGCGCAGATGTCCTACGAGGGTACATTATGCTATCTTTGTGTTCAGAATTCGGAAGCACGAAAGGCGATGAAACGGACTATGGACTGTTGGTGAATTTTAACTTATTATACTACTCACAAGGCGCAGTACTAAGATAACTTAAGTATCGGTCTAACAAACTTTGTGCTGCATGGCCGGTTTGAAAACACCGTAAATGAAATACCAATTCGTATATCATGTTCATAATAATCCAATAGACAAACAATTCATAAATGCGGTAGCAAGAATATGTGTAGAGTTTGTGCAGTAATGGGCTAGATTCAGGAAAGGCTCTCAGCTTGATCCTCCCTAATTAGTCACCAATGTGGTTCACGGATTTGCACTATAACCAGTTGAAATTGATGATCGGTTTCTGAATCCACTTGTGGTGTTAAAGCACGCGAAGATCCTTAGTGTTTTCTCGAACATGCATCAAAGCTACTGTTTGTATTAGGTCGATAGTTGCAAGTGGCCTTTTAGGAACTTTTAATTACGCAGTTGGAAATGAGATCCTATATGTCCTTAAGTAATACTCGACCTCTCGTTTGTTCTGAACCGTGCTTAATCAACTTCTAGTACAGTTATCAGCTGATTTAATTTTCCTGCCTCTTCGTATATACGACATGCAAGATGAGAAGTGAAAACGAAGACGCTTTTCACCCATATTTTAGTGTGTACTTGTACTGATTCAACCAGTTCTTGCGTCCTCCTTTGTGATTTACGCACATTTCGATCATTTCCATGGATGCAGCCAAACTGGTTGACCCCAAACTGTGATCATACATAATCTTTCCGTTCCAACAAGGCAGTGCTTCATCGCAGCTCATTGCTTGCTTCTTCGAACAGAAATGCCGTTTCCACGTCAAATAAGCCGAGTTCAGCATTCTGACTTCTTCAGGGAAATGCCTTCCTGAGGAGAGCTCACCAATTCGCAATTAAGTAGTACTTCCTAGTGCTGACCAGTTGGGGAAATTTACTCGGTACCTACAAACTTTTAAAACGGTGGAAAATCTCTTGCAGTTTTCAGTATGAGAAACAACTCGTGGGAGAGCAAGAAACGCTATTTTTTGTTCTTGTGTCAAATTGCGCCAATGGTGAGATTAAATTCGATTGAAAATAGGCCCGTTACATCAAACTGCACCGACGAAAAACATCGTACAATAGGTATTGCAAGTAGAGTTTCCGCAAAGCTACATTTGCCTCCACTTGCGATCCTGGAATCCGGTGTAAACCAGATAGAACGACTGTGGAGAGTCAGTAGGAGGTGTATAGTTCTAAAATCATCATCAAGCCCAACTGACGGCCCATTGTTGTCAATTAAATTGGGTACAAATGAGCAGTCGAGCCCCATTGTCAATGAAAAAAGGCATCTGATGGTCCGCATCACTTAGGGACGAATCTAGGCACATACACAGCTAGATAGTGCTAGTCATCGTTATGCTAGGTCTGGATACCGATAGTCACAGAGACTCGTCTTGCACTGTCGTAGGATCATGCTAATATTAACATATTGGTACAAATCATGGTCATAAAGCATATGATTATATTTTCCTGTGCAACAATGCTGACCACATGAATGTGATTTTAAGAGTACTCAATCACCAATCTTTCAGAGACAATTCTGACCGATTGACATCAAACTGCGTTAAATTTACATTACATCTAGTAACCAGTCTCCTTCCAAAAACACGCTGAATGGTTTGTATGCGCACCTCCAAGAACTTCTCTCACCTCAAAACCTGTGTTTAATATCGTTAAGAAATGGAACTGGCTTTTATCCGTATTGTACAGTCACTACATAAGGAATGCGGTTAAATGACCAGCAGTCTTATTTCTCCTGAACCGATTGCGTCGGTGACAGTTTCATCGGGATCTCACCACCTAGCAGTTGACGGCAGCAGTCATGGTTGGATACAAATTTTTAAGCGAAAACCGGTGATGACTATGAAATCAATGTATCTCACTTCGAATCTTCAGTTGACCGAATCATCCTGCATAAATTGCAATTTTCCTAGGTTCTCGAATCAGCGTTGTCGTAATTTTCTGATGAGGCACGAAATGGACTGAACCAGATTGTATGACCTGGATGTGCGAGTGTAACCGACAACCTGATGAGACTTGTGTCAATGACACAAATCCTCGTACGCCCCATCCAACTATTGTGATTGTAGTTTTCAATGTAACCATTCGTTAGTTCCCACCCTACACGCGACTGGATGAAAGGAATACGAGGCATTGCAAAGTGCCTCGTGCCTCGTTTTCACTCAAGCGGCCTGACTTTCAAAGTTCTATCTCCTGCAAGGCGCCATGCATGCCGTAACCGGTGGGACTGAGAATCGTTCGGATTCGTCGTGTGAATGCGGTCCTTTATGCTCACTGCTGTAGCTGCGATGTAACGCTCAACTGCTTTGGCTGAGCGATGTGCTTCTGAGTGGCCAGATTACCAGCCACAGAGGGGGAGATCGAAGGACTACCCTAGCAGAAGCTTCGTGTGTAACAAAGGTTAACACGAAGTGCACCAACTGAGTAAAACAAAACGAGAATTGGAAGGTGAATATTGGGTGAAGATGTCCACGGACGGTTGCCGTGGCACAACCGGGACATGTCGAGAAAGGTGGATACACACAGATACATCGTTCGCAGGGTGAGTGCACTTGGCTGACCGGCACACTCACCCAAGAGTATTGTTGCGCATGGGCTAGCCCAGTGAAACGCAGGAGGATTTTGAGGGAGTCGAGTAGCTAGCTCGTGTAACCCTGTTCACGAAAGTCAAGTTGAAACAACCCTGAGACAAAATCTCACAATCAGTTGAAATGCGAGCGCGCAACAAACATATCTTATTTCTGCCTGGCTGATGATCGATCATGATAGGCAAACCCTTGGATGACGAGCCGATAATATGGGCCTGAGATGACGTCAATCGGGATGAGGCACCATCAGTGTGCACCGAATGGTGAGTCTTCACAATGTGTCACAGAACGCATGTCACTGTGGCAGCACGCTATCACACCGACAAGTTCACGAGTCAGCATGCGTTACGGGGATAAACAAGTTAATCAATCTGCTACTTGGTAACGCACTGCTCCACTGGGTGGGCTTTTCTGGCCCCGCGGGGCCTTCAATGAGGCTCCGTGTCCGGTCTGACTGGCTTTCCGCAATTATGGTAGGATCTTCAGCTATGATTGAAGCGAATTTTAACTCGTGCCTTACAGAGAGATTTTGTCGCATTTTTGGACCCTACTTGAATCATTGGAACGAATTTGTAGAGCGCTGAAACATAAAACATAAAACACTTTACAATGCATGACTGACAAAATGGACTGGTTAGTCAACTTACGGAGACATTTGATTGGGAGAGTCCGTTTTGTGGTATCTCCTTGTCAGGCATTACCATGTACGGGGCTGAAATGGAGCCACGTTAATGAACTGGTTGTGAATCCACTTTCCAGCTCAGGAGGAATATTAAGTCCCAAAACGAAGTGACATCCAATATCACCAAAACACTTACCTTACCTCGTTGTATTCTTTACTAAGAAACATACATACCCTTTGCGACTATTCCAGTCAGCTGTGCACGAGATCTTGAAAATATCGTTTTCGCTTTTTTCGTTTCTGCAAAAAAATCGTACGTGTCTAAAGAAATTTCTGGGCTATAGTGGACTTTGTGCGGACATGTGTTGATGAGAGCAGGAAAAGTTTCATTGAGTATCCTTTAGAATGCTTTGAATTTGTACACCCCGTGTGAACGATTGTTAATCCGTTCAGGTTGATGCAAAAGACTGGTCCCATGTCCACATAATCCGGTACACCACAGCACTCTAATCTTGTCCACCAAAATTGCCCATTCTGCACCAGAATCCAAGAGACTTCATTAAACCCTGACATTGTCTGTATAGAGCCATTTCTCACAACGTAAAAATGCCAAAAGTAATTAAATATGATTACTTCCATATATGAAGAGGAAGTAAATGGCTCTTTCACAGCTTTGCAAAATAATTGGAAACGTGGGCCGTTAGAAACCCGTGAACACTACATATATTGTACACTTAATGATATCATCCTCGGTGTACATTCTCATAAATGAAGAGTTGCAGAAACTTGCTCTCTCAAAAGCATAGTTAGGCCATCCAGCTGTTCTACTGGTCACACAGTCCCAGCTGAGTAAACATGTGTGACTGTATATTCATGCATACTTGTTAAAGCGTTTCACATCACAAGGCGTTTGTGTATATATGAAGAAGCCAATAATAAAACTAATAGATAAATAAAAACAAATAAATAAATAGCATTATGTAATTCATTGGAATTCCCAAATTTCCTCACACTAGCAACAATCTAGAAGAATCTAGGATCTAAGGGGATGAGTCAAATTCACGTGCTGTGTGAGACTTCCAACCTGAGAGTTTGTTCCTCGAGGAGCCAGTCAGCAACTGATGTGAATTTGGTGAGTGAAGAGTGCGTGACGCCGTATTTTATCCACCTTGGTGATCAGCCATTCTTGGCTGAACGACTGAGTGTTCAAAC